ACCGGCCTAATGAAGGTGGTGGCGTTGCCATTTATGTTAAGAATAAGTTCAGTGTAACCGCTGTAGTTTCCAAATCTATCAGTAAGCAATTCGAATTTTTAGCCTTAAATATAGAAGTGGCAAAGGGTCAACAGGTCATGGTGGTGGGCTGTTACAGACCCCCCTCAGCTGTCAAAGACTCCTTGTCTTCGCTAGAAAATCTTTTATCGCAACTAGACTACAAGGAAATAGTGCTACTTGGAGATTTTAACTGGGACTGGTTAACTGCAGTGTCAGAGGATTTTAAAAACCTTTGTATCTCTTTGAATGTTACTCAGATTGTTGACAGTCCTACTCGCCCTAACATTAAGTCCCCTAATAAATCCTCCCTAATTGATCTAATTTTAACTAATATTCCCCACAAATACTCAGCTGTGGTTGTATTTGCGAATGATCTGTGTGATCACTGTGATGTAACCACAATTAGGGACACTAAGGTCGAAAAGGTTAAACCTTGTATTATCATTAAGAGAGACAAAAAACATTTTGTGGAGCAGGGTTTTGTGCATGATCTGTTTGGGTTTGATTGGGGAAAAATCGATCTGTGTGCTGATGTAGAAACTGCATGGTCTTATTTTTATCTTGGTTTTATGGAGATCATTGATAGACATGCACCCCTGCGTACATTCAGAGTAAAGGGACGAGACAATCCTTGGTTTTCTGCTGAGCTGTCTAGTCTCCTGCATGAGAGAAACACGGCCTGGGCAAAGGCTAGGCAATCAGGCTCAGAGGTAGAGTGGCTGCGTTTTAGGCAGCTAAGGAATAGCTTCACTTCAAATGTCAAAAGTGCAAAGTCGAAGTACTATTTGTCAGTTTCCACAGAAAACCTAAATAATCCTAGGAAATTTTGGAAAGCCATAAAATCGATATCCACCGGTGAGATCCGTAATGAGCTACCTCCGTGCATTACCACAGCATCTGGCTCTATATCGGACGGGGCCACTATGTTAAATTGCTTTAATGAGCATTTTGTGTCCTGCGGTTCTATGTTTGATTCTGTGACTAACTCTGCTTCTGTGAACACCCCAATCCGTGACTCTGAACAATGTGGTCTGGAAAACCCTTTCAGTTTTACTCCTTTTACTGTCAATGTTGTTCATGAAGCCTTATCTAAGCTAGATCCTAAGAAACCGGCTGGCCCGTACAACGTAGAACCTTTCTTTTTAAAGATAGCTGCAGATGTTATTGCTCCACCTCTCACTACTCTTTTTAACCTCTCCCTCAGCACAAATGCAATTCCAAAAGTATGGAAGTCAGCTTATGTCCTGCCTTTGCTAAAAGGAGGGGAGGCAACTATTTTAAATAACTATAGGCCAATCTCTAAATGATCAGTTCTGGCGAAGGTGCTCGAACGCCTAGTGAGTGAGCAGGTAAAGGAGTTTTTATGTACACATGACATCCTGTCTAAACATCAGTCAGGCTTCAGAAAGCAACACAGCACCATCACTGCCACAATGAAAGTGGTGAATGACATTACGAGTATTTTAGATAATAAGCATAGTTGTGCAGCTCTATTTATTGACCTGTCCAAAGCGTTTGCTACCGTCGATCATCGCATCTTAAAGCAGAGGCTACTCAGTATAGGCATATCCAGCCATGCAGTGGGTGGTTTGTGAACTACCTCTCTGAAAGGTCCCAATGTGTTCACTTTGATGGGCTGTCTTCTGAGTGGTTAAACATTGCTAATGGTGTTCCTCAAGGTTCTGTTTTAGGTCCACTTTTATTCTCCATATCAACAGTTTAGGTGAAAATGTGGATGAAGCTACTTTACATTTGTACGCGGATGATACCGTGATGTACTGTGCAGGTCCCTCCATTCAGAAGGCTGGTGTTCAATTACAGGCTGTTTTTAACATTATTCAGACTCAGCTCTCTGAACTTAAGCTTCTTTTAAATGTTGATAAAACCAAGGTAATGCTCTTTTCTAAAGCTAAAAAGACACCAGAGCCTGTTTTAGATATTGTTACTATGCAAGGACAACTCAAAGTGGTTCCCTCTTATAAATACCTAGGTATCTGGCTTGATGACTGTCTTACTTTTAAACTTCAGGTCATTAATCTGCTTAAAAAAGCTGATACCCAGGGGGCAAAACCCAATTTTTTCGGAAATCAGACATGGAATGTTGTAAAAGGTTGTCCACCAGAAATGATATCTAGGACCTTCAAGGATCACAACCTGGGTGGACAACCCGGTCAACTAGCTACTGGAAAGCTACAGTGAGGGTCCAAACAATGCAACCCCTATATGTAAAAAAGTCACAAATTCTGGATCAGATGCCATCATTCTCTTTCTGATTGAATATCTCTGTGACAGTTCATGGTAAAGACAAACTGAGCCAACCTATTGAAAGAGCAGAAAATAAGCTTTCAGGTGATGCCTTGGTTAAGCCTGTTCTCAATAAGGTCACTAGATGGCGCTGTGCCTTTTTTGTCTCTCCAAAGCAAAATCCATTTTAAGCAATGCACTTGTGGTCCTCTGGATTGTTTGCTGTGTTCAAAATGGGTATATATTAGGGCTGTCAGTCGATTAAAATAGTTAATCGCGAGTAATCGCAAATTAATCGCACATTTTTTATCTGTTCTAAATGTACCTTAGAGGAATATTTTTCAAGTTTTTAATACTCTTATCAACATATGAGTGGACAAATATGCTTTATGCAAATGTTTATTATCATTTGAACAATGACAAATATTCTCATGAATATTAAACACAACAACCTCTGAACATTACAAATATTCGCTTCAATTCAATCTGGAACCTCTCATACAATAATACAATACAAATGGTGTGTGTGTGTGTGTGTGTGTGTGTGTGTGTGTGTGTGTGTGTGTGTGTGTGTGTGTGTGTGTGTGTGTGTGTGTGTGTGTGTGTGTGTGTGTGTGTGTGTGTGTGTGTGCGCACATGCGCATGCGCGTGTGTGCGTTGGAGCTATGTGCAACTCAAGGCATATGCTCGAACGGGAGCTGCCTGGACGCTGCAATCATGTTGCGCACTATCCGTGCTGAGTGTGCTGACTTTTCGTACAATGTCCCACTGTCTGGCTTCCTGCATAAAGTCAAGTGCTCGGCGCAGTTGTGGCGAAATGTCGTTCCTCTGTTTTCATTTAAACAGCTCCTTATATCCGTTAGCGCAGCTAGCTATCACCAGATGCTAACAACAACAATGCACGTAAGGTCTCTCTCGCTCGCTCGGGCCACACACACACACCCTCCCGGTCCTCCCGATGGCCAGTCGGTGCCTGCCGGTGAGCGTGGAAGTGTGGTCTGCCACAAGCGGGCGGCAGGAGCGGGGCTGTCAGCATCAGCTTGTAGACGGTATTTTAAACTCGATGCGCTCTGAAACTACGGGGCGGCCGAGGAAAAAAAATACACATACGTTAATCGCGTTAAAATAATTAGTGGCGTTAATTTTTTTTTGCGTTAACTTGACAGCCCTAGTAAATATACTTAAACGATTATTTCTATATAACATATTGAAGGGTTTACATTAATATACACAAGGTTTGCTGCCGATGCTACTGTAAGTTGAATTGATTCAATGTTTACAGATTTTTCAGTTTACAGTCTGGAAAGCTAAAGGCAGCGTAATTCAAAATGGCCGCCACTTTCTTTGCAAAACCCTTTAATTAAAGGTTTTCTATGTTATAGGACAAGGCAAACTGAGTTAAATGTATCTGGAAGTTGACATTAAGTTCAACTTAATGTCAAATCAATACCCTTTTATTATTTGTGCAAATCAATGTCTTTGTTTTTGTGAAAAATATCCTATTTTGATCATGAAATAAACAAAATTCCCGGTGGCAAAACATTTATTTCACATACTCTCTTCTTAGTTATTAACTACAAATAAACAGATATGATCAGAAGTTGAACACAAAATAGCTAACAGCAGAAGGTTAGAAGGCAGCATGTTGAAACGGATGGTGTTTACATCCCAGAGACCATGATGAAAAACAGCGAGATCCCCCATGTGTTTGCTCTGGACAATCTGGACTGGAAGAAGAAGACACTGGAAGGTGGGAGTTTGAATGCCACCACTGCAATCAAAATTGAAAACCAAAAGATTGTGCGGGTCCAGGAGGGTGCCAGACTCCCCACTTCTACCTTGGACAGAAAGAAGACTCTCTCAGATGTTACTAACCTACCTGCTCCCATGTGACACGTCTCAGCTAAAGACAGGCAGAGGTCCAGGTCACTTGAGCATATTGAGAAGCTAGAGAGTCTGGATACTTCCTCAGATGGCAAAGCTACTTATGTGGCATCTTGCAAGAATGGTTACAACTTCAGAATTGCTGGATGCTCCTCCAGATGCAGAATCAGGACTGCCTGGCTTTTCTTTAAATTATAATAATACATCTAAAGGTCTGGCTACTGAAGTATATTTCATAGGGACTCATCCTAACATAGAAGTCAGCTTGAAAAACAACTACAATATCTTTAGATCTGTGAAAAAGACATTTCGATTCCTTATAATGCTTTTGTATAATACTGATATTTTTCAATATGTATTTTCTTCATGCCTGCCTGATGTAAAGACTGTTGATTGTTATATACCTCAGGAATGCAGATGGAAATTAGATATTAGCTCAAATCTGGCATAAATCATCTCTTCTCTTTTTCTGAGATGAATGTATTTGTATGCATGGTCCTTGATTAAATACATACATAAATTAGTTCATACAAACAACTCTAACTAATTACGACTAATGTTCGCATGTTATTTTTCTAAACTATGGTTACAGGTCGGTCAGTGGGTCCTTTGACAATAGGGATGGAGTGCTGTGATTGGCTCCCCTCACTGGAGAAGGTCAAAGCAGCAGGGGGTCTGAGCTCAGTGAGTCTGCAGCTTCACACAATGTCCTCCACTAACTGAGCTCCGTTATTCTGATCTGAACATCATACAGACTTTAAGGAGAGATGAGTATATAATCTGTTTCATTACATGTTTGAATGAGCAGGATCATGGTGAACTCTACTCACGTTTCATATTTTATAATGAGTGCCTTCTTCCACACAGGGGTTTTTAAATACTTGTTCTTCATGATTGTCATGTGTTTATATGTGTGTATTATAGGTTCCAATGTGTTGCTGATTGTGGTTATCTGTGTGAACAGGAGCTTACATGAACCTATGTACCTTTTTCTGTGCAGCCTGTTTGTAAATGAACTGTGTGGTAGTACAGGGTTGTTTCCATCCCTTCTGGTTCAGATCCTCTCTGACATTCACACTGTTTCTGCTCCGCTTTGCTTCCTGCAGGTTTTCTCTCTGTATACATATGCAAATGTACAGTTTTATAATTTAGCCATCATGTCTTATGACAGATATCTTGCTATCTGTCATCCTCTGCATTATAACACACGTATGACTTCTAACAAAGCTGCCATGTTTATTGCTCTAACCTGGTTTTTCCCCATTCTTAATGTAGTTATCATGATATCACTGAGTGCCTCTTTACAGCTGTGTGGGAACATCATTAACAAAGTGTACTGTGACAACTTCTCGGTTGTTAAACTGGCCTGCTCTGACACTACAGTCAATAATGTGTATGGACTTGTTTACACGTGTACTGTTATAGCTGCTCTCGTAATTTTAACGTTTTACTCGTACATGAGGATCCTCAGAGTGTGTTTCTCTGGCTCCAAACAGACCAGACAGAAAGCTGTCAGCACCTGCACACCTCACCTTGTTTCCATGCTTAACTTCTCCTTCGGGGCTTTTTTTGAAGTTTCACAGAGCAGGTTTGATATGAGCGGTGTTCCCAGCATGTTGCGTATTGTTTTATCTTGTGTACTTTATCACCTTCCCACCGCTCTTCAACCCTTTAATATATGGACTGAATTTAACAAAAATCCGCATCATATGTAAGAGTCTTCTCTTTGGTAAAGTGTAAGGTGCTAATGTTAAAGTCATGTATTTCATTTCCTCAGCATCAATAACACCTGGAGGAAAGGTGATGAGGATTACATTTCTGAGTGACAAGTGGTCAAGTTTGTGATATGTTAGGTTTGTATAAAAATAACATCTTTGGCTTTTTTTCACACTCAAGGCCACAAATATAAATCTGGAAAGCATTTATATTTTTACAATGACCGTAAGGGAGGATGTGCTGCCTCATACAGCGAGCAATGAGCCCAAACACATTTAACATAACGTGCAGTTCCTGAAATGTACAAGGATTCATCCTAACATAGAAGTCAGCTGGAAAACAACTACAATATCTTTAGATCTGTAAACAAAATAAGTCTGATTCCTTATAACGTTTTTGTATAATACTATTATTTTTCAATATGTATTTTCTTCATGCCTGTCTGATGTAAAGACTGTCGTTTTGCTCTGTTGTTGAAAGATTCTGTACAAATAAACTAGACATTGTGTCAAATGTTGAATAAGTCTTTGACTCAAAAATAATAAATGTTTCTTATTGTTTTATATTCTTGTAAAGTACCTTCTAAACGTTTCAAACTAATGAAGTTATTCTTTTGTTGCCTCAACCTAAATAAATCATAGTTTGTTGCCTAACCTTCATAACCCTGACCCCAACCTAAGCTCCTGATGTCGACTCTAACCCGTAATGATTTAGAATTGAACTATAATTATACTGTCATTATTTCCTGCTAATGTGTGGCTGTGCAAAGGGCCGCAAATATATCGAGTTTATGCAGATATTTATATGGCAGATCGGGAGTCTACTGCTTTATTAAAATGCAACACATTACCCTGTCTTTAATAAGAATATCTAGATGATATATTTGCCATCATCCCAAAATCAATCTTAAACATAATATTCAATGGTTGAAAGTAGATTTTCTGAAACTCAGGCTTTTTTTTAACAATTTATAATAATACATCTAAAGGTCTGGCTACTGAAGTATATTTCATAAGGACTCATCCTAACATAGAAGTCAGCTTGAAAAACAACTACAATATATTTGGATCTGTGAAAAAGGATTTTCCATTCCTTATTTTTTGATATTTTTCAATATGTATTTTCTTCATGCCTGCCTGATGTAAAGACTGTTGATTGTTATGTACCTGCATAAGGGCTGCAGATGGAAATTATCTATTTGCTCAATTCTGGCATAAATCATCTCTTCTCTTTTCTGAGATGAATGTATTTGTATGCATGGTCCTTGATTAAATAAATACATCAATTAGGTCATACAAACAACTCTAACTAATTACGACTAATGTTAGCATGTTATTTTTCTAAACTATGGTTACAGGTCGGTCAGAGGGTCCTTTGACAATAGGGATGGAGTGCTGTGATTGGCTCCCCTCACTGAAGAAGGTCAAAGCAGCAGGGGGTCTGAGCTCAGTGAGTCTGCAGCTTCACACAATGTCCTCCACTAACTGAGCTCCGTTATTCTGATCTGAACATCATACAGACTTTAAGGAGAGATGAGTATATCATCTGTTATATCTCTCACAGGCTCCGCCCTCTACTGCAGGGGTTCCCAAAGTGGGGGTCGCGAGATGATTACAACATAAAAATTGAAAATTAAAAAAATAATAATAATTTTTGTAATCAATTTATTTTATCAATTTTTTTGTTATTATTAATAATAACGTGTGCATAGACATTTTTCAGGGACGGACTAGCCATCTGTTTAATTTCCCCGCAACGAGGCTCCCCCTTTGACAATCCACCAGCGCAGTGTTTCTCAAATGTTTTCATACCAAGGACACTTAACCTTCTCTACATCGCCTCGTTCACACAATAAATCAAATACAGATTATATAAGCATTTAGTTCAAATGCGATTTAAAATGCTCTCAGGTTTTACACCTCTTATCAAATGTAGACTACATTTATTACGGAGTTTATGTCCAACAGACTCAGATCGCTGGCTACTGAGAGATATGCAAACACACCGCATGTAGTACGACACAAACCTCCGCTGTGGATTTTCAAAACAAAATACATTAAAACTATGGTCGCAGGCCCAAGTTTAACTCTCTGAGTTCTGCATGGTCTGCCTACAAAACAAACAAAAAAACCTTTCTGCAGCCCAACAACAGCCTCTGATCACTAGTAGACTTCATGCAATGCTTCATTGGATGCATAGATAATTATCTCTATCTCACCCCTAACACATCTAAATCTAATTTCAGCATGGATAAATGTACATAAATTACATCCATTGTTTGTTCTATATGCTTCTTGAAATCCAAAAAAACACATTGTTTTTCTAGAACAGATTACAAATCGCCTGAAAATGGTACAAACAAGTGGCAACATGTTTGACGAAGGTGTTGCGCTGAGCTGTATCCTCTTGGGACCCGAGGGAAACATTTCCCAATTTCCTTTTTTTTGTGATTTCCTACCTATTTAGGGTTAAAAAAACATCTTGCAATTCAGACTTTTTTAATTTAATTTTAAAATGTTACAGTATGTCCACTGGAGAGGACGTCGGGACCATATTAGTTTGAAAAGACAGCCAAAATTAACAGATAGACTATGTAACGTATTATGGTTATAGAGTGATATTAATACAATAATACATTCACCTTTATTTAAAACATGAATAAGTAATTGATCTGAACATTGCTGTTTATTTGGTCAATAAAAAACTAGTTTGGTTTTTGGTGAATCTTTCCAGATCTTCAAAGACTTTGTAGTCAATGTAATGGGAAAATTACCTCATTGACTCCAGTCGGCATGGGCTGTAGGGTCATCTTGACTAGTTTTATGGATGTGGTCTCCATTTGACCATGCTCATAGAAACAAAGCTACACTAAAGTGGACATTTTCAATGGGCTGGGTCCCAGGAGGGTATCATGAAACTTAAGCTCGCTCCATTGAGGAGATATTCCCGCGAGAGTGCGGGAAACTTAAATTAACCCCGTTGACAGGGGGTCGCGAGTCTCTGGCAATGTTATTTTGGGGGTCGCGGGCTGAAAAGTTTGGAAACCCCTGCTCTACTGGACTCTATGGGTACTCCCATGTATCCTATCCGTGCACGCATTCCTAAACTGAGACTTTCCTAGATGTACCCGGATCCTGGGCGGGTCTACCTGAATGCGCGTGTATCTCACAGCATAAAAGGCAGCCTCGCCTCCTCACTGCCATCCCTTTCTCTTCAGCGAAGCAGCAAAAGTAACTGAGTGAAGAGAGACGGACAAAGAAAATATTTTTCAAGAAACCTACGGACAATGGACTCACCTGTGGAGCGCCCATGTCCTTTGTGTCCGGGCTCCATCGAAGGTGACAACCCCCATGCCCGGTGTGTCGAGTGTCTGCAGTCTGCAACGCCTGTCGATTGATTCCTCGCTCCAGCCGCCATCAGAGGTTGGTGCTGTTCGAGGGGTGCTACGTCTCGCCGGTGGAGGACCCAGAGCTCGACGTAGTGGAGATGGAGGACCTCGAGCAGGGAGTGCTCTGCATCTTCGCCATCCCAGACCCCGGACGGGTCCGAGCGTCGGAGAGAGGGACGATGATGAGGACACCTCGTCGTCCGAGATCTCAGGTGACCGCCAGGAAGGCCATCAGCAGAGCGGGTCTGCACGACAGGACTTCTCGGCGGTGATGGCTATGGCGGCGTGCGTGCAGGCTTGCCGCTCCCCTCACCGTTGCCACCGAGGCCGGTGAGCCACCTACGTCAGGGCTTTTACGGCCCGGCCCGTCCAGCACAGCCGGCATTCGTTTCACCCCCCCTGCCAGACATCTGGTGGTGTGTGGAGACCACGTGGCAGCAGCCACTGAGAACGAAGGCTCCAGTGACTACTTGGGCTGGAATCCTCAGAGTGGAGGATGGGCAAATCTCCACCCACTGGCAAGAACGTCGACAGGTGTACAAAAAATGTAAAATATATTTTCCAGTAGGGGGCGCTCTAAGACCATGTAAATCGTTGCTGCACTTGGGAAAAATAAAAATAAACTATATTTATGATGAAACGCGCTTTAAACGGGTAAACAAGTGTGCCTGGCCCCAAAACGTTGCGGGTGTGCTACAGTGGGTACCACCTGTCACTATATCAAGTTTGAAATCCCTGCGAGTTTAAAAATATTTGACATTGTCCAAAAGTCTCAATTTTCACACCAATACATCATATGGTGGCCTATATATCACCGTTTAAATATCAGCTTCAAATGTCAATGCATTGTGGAAATATGAGCATGTCCATGCATTGTGGAAATATGTTGTGTCCATTTAAAGGAACCTGTTTTGCATTGAAACCTTCCCTTTAATGTACAACATTGTACACTACAGAGAAGGTTTCAATATTAAATCAGTTCCTCCAAGTGTACATGCTAAAAGACTGGTCCAGACGTTTGAAAACACTTTTTAAACATGATTTCCTGGCTCACACAATGCTCTATTGAAGCCAGAACAATGGATGTACTGTATTTAGCATTGCAAATGTCCCTGTGTTGTACAATTCCAAAACAAACTACAGCCTATTAATTGTACATGGTGTAGCACTCTTCCAGCCGTTTAAACCACGTTTAAACCATTTTCCTGGCTCAGAAAGTGAGGTGCTGCAATCTGGTTTGTGTCCATCTAAAGGAACCTGTTTTGCATTGAAACCTTCCCTTTAACCTGTTGATCCCCATCGACACCGGACGGAAAAACGCATCATCTGCAGGAAACAACGTCTGAGGGCTTCTTAATATTTAATAAACTATGAATGTTTTATATCCATGTAACGGGAAGAACCTCAGCTAACTGATGATATGAACCATTTTTAGCAAAGAAAAACACAAGACTAACGTTGAGCCTCTGAATCTGCCCTGAGCGAAAAAATCTTAATGCCGTTATTACAGAACTCTACCGATCGATATACTTATTGGATCCGTACAAACAAGCTAACATCCTGAGATTCCACAGATTATAGAATTATAAGGATCATCACTGAGCGATCAGAACTCGTGACAGGGGAAGCAAATACAGACAACACACGAGTAGCTTTAGGTAGCAGAACACAGAGATATGCTCACCTTAGCTGTTGTTCTGATCAAAAGTCGTGTTCAATGGCATTAAAACGAGAAAAAACGCGGCTGAAGGTTAATCCATGGGTTATAGCAATGTGTCTGTCACACAAATAATTAGCTGCTAATGGTAGCCACCAGATGTTAGCGCAGCTTCCGGTTTTTCTACGCGTCACTCTCACTCCTTATTTGGTAAACTGTGTGTGTATGTGGGACTTTCCCTCGATTCCATTGGATCTGACGGTTAAAAATCGACCAAGGAGGGCCAGAGATCGGTCAAATCCACCCAAATGACCCCAGAAGTGTTTTTGTGTTGCTAAATCTCTCTAAAAAGGTCAAATGTCACTTGTTTTGCATCAATCTTGATACAGGGTACTTATTATATGTTGTACTTTGGATTCCTAAAGCTCTTATTCTACCCTACCATCATCCAAGGGTAGTTTTCACTATAAGTAAAAAATAATCTTTGGACGGACACTATAATTTACAGTTTTTTTACTATGTTCAATCTGAATTTCCTTTAAAATAAAAAACATCTATATTGATTCTGACTTTTCTACATCCAACTCACAGGTTTATCATTACTTTGAGAAAAAAGATTATTAATTTTCCCCTTTTAGAAGATATGGTCATTTGTTCTGGGAATGTCATTTTCGAGCCTGAGACCTGGAAAACAGGCTCGGGGTTGAACAGGTTAATGTACAACATTGTACACTCCAGTGACTGTTTCAATGTTAAATCAGTTCCTCCAAGTGTACATGCTAAAACACTGGTCCAGACGTTTAAAAACACTTTTTAAACATGATTTCCTGGCTCACACAATGCTCTATTGAAGCCAGAACAATGGATGTACACTGTAAAACTTAATAAGTTGTGATAACTTAGAAAAAGTATGCAAACTCGTTGCCTCACAATAAGTAAGTTAACTTAACTTAGAATGGTGAGTATGAACAACTTGTGTATTCTAAGTGTGCTTCAATTAATTTTGAGAAGTACAGCTGACAAAAACCTTTTAAGTTATGTAAACTTATGTAAACTAAGTTATGTAAACTTATGTAAACTAAGTTATGTAAACTTATGTAAACTAAGTTATGTAAACTTATGTAAACTAAGTTATGTAAACTTAAAAGGCATGCTTTGCATTAACCTATTTTTTTTAATTTGTGTGAACTCAATGAATAAATTAAACCCTACTTAAATATACAAATCACCAGAACTTAACCCTTTTAAATTCTACTAACTCGTATATTCTAAGGTTTACTATTAAATTAAACAAACTAATTCCTGCTAACTAAGATAATTGTACTACAACACATCTCTAAACACGTTGTGTAAACTCCAACAATCTCCAAAAATAATGCATTAAAAACACAAATTGATTCAATTGCAATATAACATTTATTTTCAAGTGCCAACAAACAGTGCTTTTTAAGTACTCAAAACCCTTATCTTAATAAAAACAGCAGTGCACAACACACCAATTGTAAAAAGAAAAAAGATATAATGACCACTATGAAGAAGAGTACATTGTACTTTGCTCTCAACAATTGACAGAGTTATAACAGTTTCCCCAGAGTAACAAACTTTTGTGATAACATTTAACGGTGCAACTTTTTTAAGTGCCAAGTTCTATCTGATAGTTGATGACTATCTTGACTAAGGTCTAATCCAGTAGAGCGTTTCTCAAAGTTAATTGTTTAGGTGAGAGAGCTTTGGTTCCCAGTCCAAGCATCACTGTTTGAACGAACCTCAGAGTATTTGCCATGCATTTTGGGTGATCTAAATGCAAAGCATATATCAGGCCAAATAACAGGCCTGTGGAACGTTTTTGATCTTTTCCATGACAATACCTCCCTCAAGCACAATGTCAGTGGAGATGGGCTCGAGGTGGATTGAGCTTGGACCCTCCTGAGGACTGTCTTCACTGAGAACAGTCAGCACACCAACAGTGACGGATGATAGGGCCTCATCTCTCGTTGTATCCTGCAAAGAAAAACACGTTATTTAGACTATCATCGCTACCTATTAGAGTAGGTCTTCCTATGAAAACATTCATGTTGCATTTGCATTAAAGTCTTTGCTAAAAGATGTAGCTGAAGTACACACTCAAACTGCGTTGTAACATTATATCCAAAAAGGTTCTGTAAATGTGGTGTGAGGAAACTAATGCTATGGATGCAAATACAGCTAGGAAACGTGCATTTATTTTACACCTCATTTCTAATCTAGACTCCTGGTCATGGAATTTAGTGTACAGTATTTTGAACACACCAAATTCAATCTTTTGGTTGCAAGTTTGTGTAAATAGGGGATATGACTTTTCAATAAATGCAAACCAAACAGTTTTTTTGTGTTCAAGTACTTACAAAGCATGTCTTGAAGAAATCCTTGGAGTCGTCGCCAAGAACAATCGGAATGCCTTTGAGGACAACAGAGCGCTGTTCAGTCACGTCCGGTGTCTAATGATAGAGATAAAGAAGATAAAGGTTAAATGACAAACTCACAAGATGAAACATTTTGGCCTTTTCCATCTTTTTGAGGGGTTGTTTTAATTATTTTAGAAGGCTTTTGAAGTAGTACCATATCGTCATCAATGTATGTGACAAAAAGTTTCTAAGTTATATTACTTACCGGCCAGTTGATGCTCTGCAGTTTCTGTCCCACCGATCCTTTTTTTGACTTGAACAGTTGGATGAAACGTGGGGTGTGCTGGCCCAGAGCCTCAAAGAAGTCTGCCTCGAGGTTCCGACTGGTAATCTGATTAAATTCGGCAAATACCTGAACAAGTAGAGAAGGGGGTGGGGTAGGAGATGGAAAGCCAGCACATTAGGAAGACATTAGTTTAAATCATAACAATTGTGCAAGCAGGCAACCACTATGGCTTAGATAGAAAGGCAGGGTACACGTCTAGCCCACAACAATATAATATTGTATGCTGAGATTTCAGGCCTCTATAATTAATATAATATTATTTTGATTTATTGCTGCAACGTTTTGTTTACTAATTGATTAGTCGATCAAAACATTAGAACAATAATATTTGCCAAATGATATGATAATGAAAAATGAGCAGAACTTACAGGTCCACTGCATCGAAGGTTTTCGATCTGCTTGGCAAATCTGAAAATCAAGAACGACAAACCAATAAAAACAATCAAACATCACGTATACAGCAATTTAGAAACGACAGTGTTGTATTTACCTGATTTAGAATGCAAAACGTGTATTATGAAATAAGTGAAAGTGAGAAGAGGACTAAATTGCATCCATGCTATTGTTGTGATCAAATTCTAGTGATGTTAAAGGTCCCATGTCATGGCCATTTCCACAGATCATAATTCCATGGTTGAGGTTTACTAGAATAGATGTATATTGTGCAATGTTCCAAACTCACATTGGTTTCTCACAGCATCTCTAAACTACGTGTATTCACTGAATTTCACTCTGTCCGAAACGCCTTGTTGGAGCTCCCCCCCCTCCCTGTGAGCCCAGTGTGCTCTGATTGGTCGGGACGTTGAGAAGCTCCCAGCTGCAGTCTGAGCTGCAGTCTGAGCTGCAGTGTGCGCTCCGTGGCGGTGTGGTTTTCTGATTGGCGAT